CTTTGTCGATGTGTCTGAAGAGGAAATTAATTTAATGAAAGAAAATGCCATAAATCAAAACAACTACATTAAATTTTCGCAACACTTTATTTACTTAACAGAATGGTTTCAACAACAAACCGAATTTACCACTCACTTTGAGGCAATGGAGGTCAACGAGATGAATAAATGTTTGTCAAAATTTTACGTCTCAGTCAGGAGGAAAGATGGGACTTTTTACAAGAGAAATAGTCTGTTGTCCGTGCGAGCGGCTCTCGCTCAGCTGTTCACTGACGCATGACAATGACAAATAAAATTTAACATTCCTTTGCTCATTTCTCTAATCACCTGAGTAATTATACTAAAACAGTTATTCGCCTCAGGCTTGTGAATATTGTTGAATATAGACCACTTTCATAAATGGCTGCCGGATTAATATTCTTTTGTTTAAATTTAAATTAGCCTTTCTGGCGTCATTCTCCAGTTCAAAATTCAAAAGAATACATTATCTCAAGCGAGGCCAGAAGGGCTAACTTAAATTTAAACAAAAGAATATTAATCTAGCAGCCATTTATGAAAGTGGTCTATTCACTTTGCCTTTGGCAATTAATTGTTAATTACACCTGGGTTCAAACCATTTACTATAACACCATGATCACTTTCCAATCCAACTCATGGATTGGCGGCTACTTTACGTCACAACTCGTCCAGACGATGAGAACTTCCCAAGAGGTTGTTAATAATTGTGATTTGTCTTTGTTAGGAGATACTTCCAGCAAAGAAGAGAAAGAGAAAGATTAGCGAAAATGAATTGCCAAATCAATAAAATCAAGGAATTAATCAGGAAACGATACAAACTGCCACAGGAAACTCAGAAGATAACTAGCAGTTTCAAGATAAAGAATGTTGCCCAGCATATTGGAGACACAAATGTCACAAGAGATGAAAAATTCTGTTTACATATGGCTTTCAACTTAAAGAGGCACTGGAAGTGCAGTTTTCAATAGACTTACTTTGAATTCTCATCTACATAGCACCTTGTGCCACATTCCCAGTAAGGACAAATAAGTGCTTGTGTTCAAGTTGCAGTTTTTCAGACCCTTGTTTGACACAGCATCTTTTAGCAAAGTCTTGCAAACTTAACAATAATTTACAGGTCAACTTTCTAAAGTCCTTTTCAAATTTTATTAACAATTATTTTAAAAAAATAAATACCAAAGCTAATATAATACACGTCAGAAGCATACAACCTCCACTGAATGTCATATGCTGTGCTACAAAATACAAAAAGCATTTCTACCCAGGAAGCATCACTGTCACAGTCAATAGTGTTAGTCAATATGGTTAAAAACTCCTATTGCACATAAGGTAACCCAGAGCATGTCAAGAACAGATAGAGCCTTTAATGCATGTGGCTAATGTCATTCACATATTAATTTAGTTCCTTCGACAATGTAGAAATAAAATCTACCCAAAGTAATCAAAGAGGGAGTGTGCTTTTGGGGAAAATGTTCCAGCTATAAATGGATTACTGTTGCTGGCAAAAGCCACCACTCAAACGTTTTGGTAGAACACAACAAATAATAGCTCAAAACAACAGATACTGGTATGTTTTTGTTTCTTTTTTTTTTTATGACCTGTGACCTTACAGCAATGCAGTCATATTGCCACAATTCAAGGATTCTTGACTGTCACGTATCTGATTGTTAGAGTAATGTAGTTCTCTGTGAATTACTTTGCAATTCACAAACCAAAACAAAAAAATATGTCTCCTTGACATTTCCTTGTTGTCACCTTTAGATCAGACTTTAAGTAGCTACCTTTCTAAACTTACTCAATAATTTATGGGTATTGGTAAAATTGTTCATGGTGAAAAGTTGAGTGAGAGAAAAGAAATATTGGCATATGTGCTCAATAATTAACTGACTAGTTGATTAAGTCAAATGTTTGATAAGTGATATTGCTATTACATAGGATTTCCTGACACCCTATACCAGGTTTGTAAATCTTCCTTCAGTTGTAAAATATAAAGCCAAATACCCCTCATAATCATGTAATTATCATGACTTTTTTCTATAGCACACAAGCTCCAAAGGAAAGAAAAACTGAAAAGCAACCAAAGCTTAAAAATTTCCACATACAGCTACCTCCATTTGACTACACAAATGTATTTATTATTTTTTGTTAGTATCAAATGCCATGCCCTTTGTATGGTAGTTTTTTATTGTCTTGTCTTTAGAAGTTCAAAACAACAAACTTAAGTACAAACATTTTTTGCTCCCCAGTAAAAATCAAACAAAGTGTGATTTACAGACCTTCGAAAAGTAACCAGAGAAAATTTGCACCTAGTCTAGTCCTAGCAGGCAACAGTAAAAAAATATTTGTTAGCTCAAGCCAGCAAGCCTCAATGTCAATTTTTTTTTCATTGCAATCGAGCAAAGGCTTAATTCAAGAAGAAATTAAATTTACAATAGATCATTTGTCACGGCCAAATAAGTTAAAATAAATAACTGTTTACAAGAGAGTTCCATTGCTAACAATACCATTTGCCATTAAATTCTAAGTAACTCTACTTTGTAGTTTATGTATGTATTTACGAATATTTATACAGGGTAGCCCAGTTTAGCAGATAGCTAGTTTAAATGGCACCCTGTGAACACCCACCCATCCCACCCCAGGGAGGACATCCACCACAGTAATATCGTGCGTGGGAAATTAACGTCTCCTACCCCTAACCCTGTAGGAGATGGGGCCTATGGTTTATTCATCCTTATCTGAGAAGACTAGAACATCTATCCATTTCTTAATATTATAGAAAGGTAGCAAATTCTCCTCAGTTATTTTAAGACCACGAGTGTTGGTCCGGCCAGGGCTTGAACCCTCGACCTCCCACACAACACACTCCAGCGCTCTAACCAATTGAGCTTACCGGGGGATGGTTACAGAGTGATCACAGTCTTAAATGATACAATGCATATTTCATTTAAGTTCACATCAGTACATTAGTTTAGATGTACAGTGCAGATTCTTAATTTGTTACCTCATACAAAGAAAACATTCATCCAAGGCATAGTTATTGTCTCTTCATTGAGTAGGCTATGTACAATGTGGTGCTTTGTTGGATTAAAACGGCCAACTAACTGCAAATGAGTACCCAAAAAGGCAGGATCTTTCTGCTCAGGATTGTTGACTTTAATCCTACAAACAAATTGCTTGCAGGTGTTTTTCAGCAACTGTTTTCCGTTGCAGTAATACTAGATTTAACCTTGGCCATTTTAGCAACAAAAGTGTCACAAATACATTTCTATTCAGTCACAACAGAGAAAAACTGTGCTTTATATTGTGGGTGGTCTTGATTCATCAAAGCACAAACATGTAACAAAGCCACATTAAATAGAAGTAAAAACCTTACAGTTGCCATCAACCTGCCAGTTGTATGGCACCTGCCCTCTTAAAGTTCTCGCTTAACACTGCTTGTTGGACATTTTGTAACCTGGACTCCTGTTCCTCATGTTCAATGTCCTTCTCATCTTCACCAGTACATGTCAGGATACACAACCTATACACCAGCAGACTCAAAGCAATGGCATTCTTACATGTGAAGAAAATATGCATCTCACTGTATACCTGGTAATTAATAATCAAAAGCAGTCGCAGAATCAAAAATGGTCCATCTTGCATGAAGATACCAGTCAGGATGCCAAATATGTCACCATGAAGCAGCATTTCACGACGAGATATCTCTTTCACCTCTCCCCTGGCAGTTGTAATTGGGTAAATTTTCTTCTCCTTCTTTTCACCTTTGTATCCCTTTCCACGCAAGACATTCATTTCTGTTTGACGACGTTTCATCTGCAATCTCTGAATGTATCTCTCCTTGAGATCTTCTTTTTTTTCATACTTATGGAGACTTATTTTCCGGTTTATGACATCATCAGGTGAAACCTGGAAACCATTTTTTAACATGACTGTGATAAGTGTTCCACATATAAACATAGTTAAGACCATTTGGTTTTATCCACTGATTTGACAAAGTACATTGGCCTTCATGAAAAGTTCGTAAAGCTGACATTTCAAGTGGGTGCTTGAAGAATGGCTCAAGCTCAAAATATCAGCTTTAGAAACTCTTAACAGTTGCCAGTTTACAACATCAACTCAGTAGATATAACCAAATTATCCTGTAGTACCCACCAATGCAGCACCACTGACAGTTTCTTTACAACCTTTCCCCCCCTTTATACTCTAGCTGAAATTCAACATTTGACAGAAAATGAATCAGAACTGATAGTATGTTGACTGTGACATAAAAAAATTTTTACAATTGAGTTATGTTCTGCTTGCTTCTAGTCCTCTGTTCTAAACATTATACCCTTTTGCTAATTTCCAAACACAATTTGACCAAGATTGTTGGTGAGTAAGTAAGAATACAGCTGAGTTTTAACATTTCTCTACTGAGTTGTCAGTTGCCTGCTAGTGGCCATTCACAAGGCTGTCATGGTTACTCTCAACAAGAATCTTAAGCCTGGTTCACATATGATCTCAGACAATCGCACTCGATTGCCAGTGATCATCTGTAATTATATGTGAACAGCTCTGTGATCTTGTGCAATCAAGTGCAAATCATGATCGCAGGTGATTGCAGGAATAGAACCATGTTCTATTCATGCAATCGGTTGTGATTGTCTGAGATCGAGTGAGATCAAATGTGAACAAAGTTCTGCGATCATGGGATTGGAAAGTGACCCATAATGCTATGTTTTCCAGTGTGCAGCACTGCAAGCGGTATGATACCATGACAACCAGTTGTTTATCAACTTTTACACGTGCGTGTGTTTTGACAAGATGGAAGGTGAAATTGACATGGAACAGTTCCTGGAAGAAATTAGAAAATATAAATTGTTTGTTCAATGGCTTTAAGACTTTCTGCATCCAGAAGCAATGTTTCTTCTTTGACCTAACAGTGATTCTCATTTAAGTGGAGACAACAGAAGCAGAAAGATAACACCTATTAAAAGTTCAGTGTCCTTGGCATCCATGATCGCTGCAATCGGCTGCGGTCATATGTGAACATGGGATTTGTGATCTTTGGTTGAGTGGTTTCAGTGATCGTGCGATCACCTGCGATCATGTGCGATTGTCTGTGATTATATGTAAACCAGGTTTTACCCACACACATCTATTGTTAATGAGTGTGATGTTTCTTCAGAGTTAGTGCAAGTTTTCTCAAACTGTTGTAATTGTGATATTTACATGTAAGTCAATTCTATAACAACCACGAGAGTACTAGAATGAGCTAGACTAAAATTGCAAGTACATGCCTCCTAAATTCGACCCTACTGACATAAACTGTTATGGCTACAGCCTCCTCTTGGAGGCAAAGCCATATATATAGTCAAGATGGGTGAGTGAGCAACTGTCACAATGGAATTCATATCTTGACCAATGTTTCCTAGTGTAACTTATTGTTTGTTTCAGAGTACTATAGAGGATGTTAAACATCTCACAATACTTTCAGGATGGTGCATGAAAACACAAAGCTTTACCTTACAGAAATATCTTTAAAAAAGTCATCAATGAAACAATTTTTTAAAAATTTTCCTTAAAGTTCCCTACCAATGTCTGTCTTGAAAAATACAAAAAAAAAATATTTGTCACAGTGCTTGTTTAAGAGATGTGATGGGCCAAACTTATCCCATTTATGCCTGCACTGGCACTAATCATGCATGTCATTTAATCAATTCTTGGTACATTTTGTGGTAGATGGAAACAAGGGTTTTTAACTCATGAAAACAACTTGATGGGTTGAAAGTCTTGAGCAAATGGAACAATTTTGATAGCCAAGGTTTTGATAGCCTAGATCTTGATAGCCTAACACACTAAATAGGTGTTCCTGAGCATCTGATGATCTACATTTCAGTACTGAAGAGAGTAAATTGTTAGTTTTTCAATTCAAATCCTCCCTGATGTAGTGCACAGTTAACCCACCTTGTTGTTTGTGATTCTTATCTGGTTGTTCTTTCCAGTTGTGGCTGTGGTGACAAGACAGAACTGTAACAAGCTCCATGTATACACACCAAGCACTGCATATGTCACTGACTTCTCTGTTTGGACAACATCTTCTTGAAGGACTTCAAATAATTCAAGAATGTCTGCTGCAGTGCCAACATAACCCAGTAAAAGAGCGGACAGCTGGTCACGGGTTATCTCACCTCTTGGTAGAAGCCATCTTCCAATGATTATTCCAATGATCAGACCCAGTTCACAAATCTGTTTGGCCAGTATTGATGTACTCACATTTCCAAGGCACTGCAAATTCAAACATTACAATGTTTCTATCATAAAAGCTTGAGCCGAAAGGTGCACTATTCTTATGAGTTTACTTAACATAACATTCAAAGAATGGGCACATTTAATGACAATAAAACTGAAAGTATGATCCAAGGAACATTTTCATCTTCCTCTTCTGAATAATTTCTTCCAATAGTTATTTCTTTTTTGTTTGTTTACATGAATGAATTTTCTTTCATTTATGGCAGGGAATCTGGGACCCCTTCCCCCTCCACCTCCCCCTCTGCCTTCTTATTCAAACATTCCTGGATCAGCCTGTTTGAGAAATGCCTTAAAGATATGTTTTTGAAACAATGATTGGATTTGCTTTACTTTGTTCTACAGTTAACAGGTATTTCAAGCAGGTCACTCTTTCTTGTTTCTTAAGGGGTGAGTTCAACTGAGTGAAAAAAAAACTTACCCCAGGAATATTCCCTTGAGGTTGTACAGTTCCATTTACACTTGGTGGCTCTGTTGGATTTATACGCAGTTCCAGAAGGTCTATTTCTAAAATCCATATCACAGGAATCATTGTAGACATGTAGAAGAAACAGCTTGGCCAAAAGCTGGAAAAAAGAAAATGTGTTCTTGAAAATTTGCATTACATCATAATTTGTAATTTGTATACTTTATGTTAAATACTGTAACTGTGCATCACTTCTCAAATCAGCTTGAGACTGATCATTTCTAGAGACAATCACTTCTGAGGTTCAGATGGTGGATATGGTCTTTACAGGTTACATAAAATGCTGTTGTTTGTTGTGGTTTTTTAATTGAGAAATCAATGTTTAATTGTTTGTCTCATGATGTAAGAGTCAGGCTAGCCAATCATGTATTGATCTTGACCTTTCAACTGCTATACTGCTAGTCTTCATCAGGCAACAAGGTCAAAAGTTTATGTGTTGCTATTTTATAGCACCTCAGTTTGTTGTTATTGGTCTATTATGGTGCACTGTCATGTTCTTTACATGTATGCTACCCACACTGCTAAAACTGGTATGTGTGCTGACCAAATGGAACCAGAGCTTATTCTTACATGTATTTCAGTACTTGTGAGCCTCAAGGAAAATTCCCTTTGCCCTTAAAAAGCACTAAATTTTCACTCCCAAACAAAAATGAAAAGGGTGTGATCTACATAACATGATGAATGTGTTGTTCACTTCCTTCTTGATTTCAATTTTTTTTCAAGCTGTC